TCGCTCGACTCGACCTCCGTACCCTCCGTCCCCGTCCTTCGTCTACTCCTCCCTACTTTCCTTCCGTACCGAACTAACTAAAAAACTAAACTACCTAACCGTACCCTTTCCGTTACCTAACTACCGCCTCCCGCTCTCTCTCTCTCTCTCTCTCTTTCTCTCTCTCTCTTACTCTCTCTCTCTCTTCTCTCGTCCCGCTTGCCGGCTGGAAGCTAACAGACCGCCCCCAGACCGACATCATCATGGTTGCGCAGCAGCCCCAGGCGCAGGAGGACAAGCCTAGGCGCGGCTCGACCTCGCTCGCCAGTAGGAGACGTGGCTCCGGCACAGAGAAGCTCGACACGCATGTGAGTCGTCAGCTGCCGTCTCCGTCTCGAGCAGAGCGACTCGAGTGCTTCCGGATGTGTGGCCGGCTCTCTGGCTGCTGTGCGGCAGATATCCCCTTTGAGGCCGTGTCTCGACCAAAGAGACTCCGTCGGCGTGAGCGAGGCTTGCAAGTCCAGGCGCACGGACCGGTTCCGATGGCCCTGGCCTTGTCGCGGTGAGGAAGGCCTCAGCCGGTCCCGAGGTCCTGCAGGCGATACAGCATCGCTGCGTTCCAGTTTGTCGCCGGTACTGCCTGCAACGAACATGGAGGCCGTCAACGCAGCCGCTTCGGAAATCATCCAGATCGGAGCCACCAACCGCAGTCTTGCGCCTTTCCAACTGGCCTTCCCCGCTGATATCCCTTGCCGACCCTTTCCACCGCCCTGTGCTTCCGAAGATTGCATCGTGGCACACGAGGACCCACGATGGCGGCAAGACTCCTCACGCCCGAGAGGAGGACCTGAAGAAGCTCTACGAGAAGTACGAGAAGATCTTCTCCATCACTCCGCAGAGGCTGCGCATGATCACGGACCGCTTTGTCGGCGTGCTCGAAGAGGGCCTCAAGAAGCCCGATCAGACCGTGGTGAGCGTCGGCCGACGAACGTCGAGCGGAAGTAAGGCTGCTCGCCGCCCCTGCATCGCCGTTCCACCGATCCTTCCGCTGACGTCTGGCTCAGCCGCCTTTGCGCATCGCGCCCCCACCACCGTGCGAGGCAGCCGATGCTTCCGGCCTTTGTCTTTGGCTGGCCTACGGGAGAAGAGGTCGGATCGTATCTTGCCCTGGACCTCGGTGGCACCAACCTGCGTGTCTGCCACGTCGTGCTCAAGGGACAGGGCAAGTTTGAGATTACCCAGACCAAGTTCCGCCTGACAGAGGAGCAGAAGCAGATCGAGGGTCAGGAGCTCTTTGACTTCTGCGCCGAGTGCCTCGACACGTTTGTCAAGGACCACTTTGGCGATGCCAACGGCGAGGTCATCCTCGAAGAGGAGATCGCGCTCGGCTTCACCTTCAGCTACCCCATGTCTCAGGATCGCATCGACCACGGCAAGCTGATTCGATGGACCAAGGGCTTCGGCAACCCCAACACCGAGGGTCGCGACTGCGCCGCCATGTTTCGCGCATCGCTCGAGAAGTACGGCGTGCCAATCAAGATGACGTCGCTCATCAATGACACGACGGGCACGCTGATCGCGTCCAACTACGTCAACAAGGACACGCGCATCGCCTGCATCTTTGGCACCGGCTGCAACGCCGCCTACATGGAGCACATCAGGGACATTCCCAAGATCAACGACCTCGGCCTGCCGGGCGACCAGGACATGGCCATCAACTGCGAGTACGGCGCCTTTGACTCTTTTACCCACGAGCACATGGCCGAGATCCGGACCAAGTACGACGAGCACATCGACCTGCACTCGAACAAGCCGCACGAGCAGACGTACGAGAAGATGATCGCTGGCCTCTACCTCGGCGAGCTGTTCAGGCTGGTGCTCATCGAGCTGAGCGACGAGGGCGACCTCTTCCTCGGCCAGAATACGTACAAGATCGAGAAGCCGTACGCGTTCGACACGGCCTTCCTCTCGCTGATTGAGAGCGACCCGACCGACGAGCTGCTCACCGTCACCGGCCTCTTCACCCACTTCTTTGGCCTGGACACGACGCTCGAGGAGCGACACTTTTTCCGCAAGCTGGCCAGGCTGATCGGCACGCGGGCCGCCCGGCTGAGCAGCTGTGGCATCGCCGCCCTCGTGACAAAGATGGGCTACCTCGAGCAGGGCTGCGGCGTCGGAGCGGATGGCAGTCTTTACTCCAAGTACCCCGGATTCCCCGATCGTCTTCACGAGGCGCTCGAAGACATTTTCGGCGAAAAGGGCAAGAAGATCCGCACCTACCAGGCCGAGGATGGCTCGGGCGTCGGTTCGGCCATCATTGCGGGTAAGTGCGGCCGTTTCGCCGAGAGCGCGGCGGATGCGCAATCCACTGGTCGGCCGCTGACGTTTCCTGTGTTGTTGCACCTCGACTTGCCGCTTCCTGCGTTTGATTGTGTCCGACGCAGCCATGACCAAGGCCAGGAAGGAGGCCGGCATCCACGCGCACGTCTGAGCTGGATTTGCGCAGAGCTCCACCGCCATGGCCAAAGGCAGCGCGGGGAGCAGGGTCGTCTGATGATTGAATGCGCTCAACCCCCGCAAGTGCCGACCCCGACGACCTTACCTGACCTGTCCTGTGCATCACTCTGAGCTCGATCGCCGTATGGCTAGCGCCGAATCGTCGTGATCCTGAACCATCTGCCTCCAAAGCCTGCGGCCGCGGCGTGCGTGAGTGCTACCCCAAGGTCGTGCGAAGTGGTCTCGTCGGGCAGGCTTGCCAGTCAGAGAATTGCTTGGCGAGGTTCGAGTCGGGACGCGCCTGCCTCGATGCGACCAGGAGATCAAGGTGACGGCGTCGAAGTGGTGTTGGTGGTGGCGGAGGAGAGCTTGGCCTGGCCAACCATTTCTCTTGCAGTAGTGTGTAAGAATGCGCGCAGGGCTCTTTCCTGTCCAGGCCGGGTGCTCGGGCATCTTTCCGCCCTCGCGCTTCGGGGTGACGACAAGATTGCCGAGAGGCGCGGGGCCGAAGCAGGTAGGCTGGCGGCTTTCGGGGAAAACCCCCCGGGGGAACCACTCCTGCCTCTCCATTCGAGCTGCTTTTTGGCTGCAGCTGGCTTGCCGATTAGTGCCTCACTCTGGCGGCCCGCGTGGCCTGCGCGCCCGGCCAGGCCGCGACCGGCGAAGTAGGGTCGCAGCAGGGTTGGGCCCCCGGCGAACTCGCCGTTGAGGCGGCCTTCGCCTTCGCCTGCAGGCGGTAGACGAGCCCCCCGAGGCCAGCAGGCTCAGGCTTGCGGCGAGCAAGCCAGCACCACCAGCTTGCCAGCCACCTGCCTGGCCCACCGGCGAGTTGCACACCCTCGTTGCCGCAGACGAATCAAGACTACTCGGTTCGGATGTATGTACATACCCATCACCAGGCGGCCGGACGGATGAAGAGGTGGTGGCCGAGCTGTTAGGTACTTACAAAGCATCTCTCTTATTGTCAACGAGATGGCCGAAGAGGGAGAGGTCCGTCGAGGGTTGGCGCTGCCAAGGGTTCCACCAGACTCTCAAGGTGGCGCGAGCAAACACACTCGTCTTTGTCGGCAATCCTAGCAAACGTAGCGGCGGGTCGAGGGCGGGCGAGGGTCCAGCACCAGAGGGCCTTTTGGCGGGATGACCGGGGCCGGCCTGGCGAGCTGGCGCGAGCAGGCAGATCGGTCAAGCCCAGCCTGGCAGCGCCGTAAGCAAGCAGGCTAGGGCGTTCGCCCTTTGGCAAGAAGATCGAGCCAGAGAGGAGCGGGCTGCACCCTGGCCTGTTGTGTGCCTGTACGGCAGAGTACTGTGAGTACATACAGAGTAGTGAGTACCTACACCGCCTTGGGGTTGGGAGCCTACTGCCCAGCTTTGTTGGCCGGCAATCTCGTCGTTGGCGATACGACTACTCTGATGCTCAGAGCCAGCCAGGCGGATTTCTCGCCTCAGTGGGCTGGTGCGTGCGCGCCCCCCAAACGCTCGCCGCCGGGTGCGGTGGCGCGCTGCACGTCGACGAAGCCGAGCGTGAGGCCCCTCCTCGCTCGCCCACCGGTATCCTCGCTCCTCGCTCCCCGCTCCGCTCCATCGCCCTTCGCCCTTCGCCCCGCCCCGCCCCGCTCCGCCCGCCGTCGCCTTGCCTTGACCTCCGTTCCTGCCGGGCCCCGCCTCGCCCCTCGTTCAACACCTGGCAATCTCCAGAAGAAAGGCGGCCCACCCGCAAGCGCCAGACGAGGCCAGGCCGAGGCCGGCTACCTATAAAGTCGCCCTCTCCTCGCCTTCGATCCTGGCCGATCCCCTATCCAGCCCTCACCTTATCCGCTTCCTGCGCAGTACACCACAACCACCTCTTTCTACCGCTCATCACCAAATTATCCAAAATGTGCGTGACCGGCCTTCGTGCGGTGCCTGCTGCCTCTTCCGTTTTCGGCCCCCCTCCCTCCTCGTCACGATGGACCTCGCTGACGCCGATGCCAACCGAAACGTCGATGCTGACCGGGTGCTTCAAAACGTTCCGTCTTGCAGGGTCGCTACCGAGTTTAAGCTCAACAACGGTCTCTCGATTCCCTCCGTCGGTCTGGGAACCTGGCAGTCCCCGTGGGTATCGGTGTGCCTCGGCCGCGGTTGCATACCTTGCTCTTGCCCGACTCCTGCAGCACCGCGGCGCTCTCTCATGCTGACCATCGCCAAAGCCTTTCCCGAACCCCCTTCTGCTTCTGGGCTCGTCCCAATCCCCGTCTACATCAGCAAGGGAGAGGTCAGGGATGCCGTCTGCCACGCCCTCAAGAACGGCTACAAGCACATCGACTGCGCTTGGGGCTACCAGTGAGTAGTGCCTCGCCTCTCTCGCTCCCCCTTTCCGCCTGCTTGGCCCGCCGTACCCGCAGTCGCCTCATACCGCGACTGTTTGCTCACTCGCGCTCCGTCGCTCCCATCGCCACGTCGCCCGCCCCTGCCTTTATAGGAACGAGGACGAGGTCGGAGAAGGCATCAAGCTCAGCGGTGTCAAGCGCGAGGACATCTGGATCACCAGCAAGCTCTTCGAGTTCCACCACAACCAGTGCGTATTCGCAGTCGGACTCCCACCCACCGACGGTTCCACCCCTCCTCTTCCGCCGTCTTTGGCCCACGACTGACCCATCCATCGCCGACTTCCGCCTCGCCCGCACCTCCGCGCCCCTCTCCCATCCCTCAGCGTCCGTCAGGCGTGCCTCGACACCCTCGAGAAGCTCAACGTCAAGTACCTCGACCTCTACTTGATGCACTGGAACATTGCCTTTGTTCCGGAAGATGTTCCTGCTGGGCAGCTTCCGCGCAACTCGAAGAAGGACCCTGCCACCGGCAAGCACCTGCTGGACGTCGAGACGACCGAGAACTTTGTCGGTGTGTGGAGGGAGATGGAGAAGCTGGTCGAGGAGGGCCTGGTCAAGTCGATTGGTGTCTCGAACTTCTCGATCCGCAGGCTCAAGGAGCTGCTCAAGGAGTGCAAGATCAAGCCCGTCGTCAACCAGGTCGAGCTCTCGTTCACCTTTCCGCAGCCCGAGCTCGTCGCCTGGCTCAAGAAGCAGGACATCCTGCCCCAGGCCTACTCGCCGCTCGGCTCGACGGGCGCCAGCCAGGCCTCGCTCGAGGTCGTTGACAGCATCGCCAAGAAGCACGGCGTCGAGGGCGCCAACGTGCTGATCAGCTGGCAGGTCGCTCGCGGCTGCAACCCGCTCCCCAAGTCAGTCACCCCCAAGAGGATCGAGAACAACATCAAGCTCATCGAGCTCTCCGCCGACGAGATCGAGACCCTCGAGAAGGGCGCCCTCGCCCAGACCCCCAAGAAGGTCTGCGACCAGTCCGACCTCGTCGTGCCGGCCTACGACATCTTCGAGGCCAACCACCCCACCAACAACGACAAGGTTCAGGCCGCCCAGGCATAGACGGGTTCACACAGGACCACCGCGCCCACATACTGGCCGTGGACATCTCACCCTCTTGATGTAGACTGTACTCATTATCTTGCACGAACGAGCTGTCACGAAATTGTCTATGAACGCAAGCCCGCTACAGCCACATGAGATGGTTCGTTTGCGTCAAAGTTGTGGGAGGCTTGCGGCCCCGAAACCGGGGAACGCGAATCTTATGCAACTCTCGACGGCTCCGGGCCGGAAATCGGCGCTGGTCTCCGCCGTTTTCCGACCCAGACTCCCGTGAAGTGAAACGGAACTCCCGATTTTTCCCATCGCACAGGCTGTGCAATTCAGGATTTGAAAGTCGTTATACAAGTGCGATCTGAAATCCTGATCACTGTATGTAAATTTCAGATCGCAGGCAGTAAAAATTCAGGGCGCGCTTCTGAGGAATCGCACAAGCTGGCTGCAGCTGGATTCCAGATTGTTATACATTTTTTTTTGACCAGATCCTGCTGCTAGCTATGCAGTTGCTGGCTGAGGTCACTCACGCTCTGCCCGGTTCCACCGTCATCGGGTCAAACAGTATCTGGTCAAAAAAAATTGCACATGTATAACAATCTGTAATCCAGCTGCAGCCAGCTTGTGCGATTCCTCAGAAGCGCACCAGGTGTGCAATCAGCTGCGATCTGAGATCCCGAATTTCTCCTGCCTGTAATCTGAAATCCACTCATAGTGGCCAGGATTTCAGATTGCACTTGTATAATGACTCTCAAATCCTGGATCGCACAGCTTGTACAATAGGAAAAATTGGGAATCACTTTTGCTGCTGACAATATGATTGTCAGCAGCAAGTAAGGCGGTGAGGGAGGAGCAGCAAAAGAAAGACAGGAGCAAAGGAGTCAGCAATGGTGCGCAGCAGAGAGGCAGAAGGATAAGAGCGGCAACAGTCAACTCACCAGAGCAACAGCAGACCAGCAGGCAGTGGCAAGGTGGGCTGTGCACGCAGGCAGAGTGGACGCAAGGCGGTCAGTGGTCTCAATCATTGGAGACGCCGGAGACATAGCTAGGGGCAGAGATTTTCCTACGATTTTGGGAATCGGAGATCATCTACAAAAGTGCAGTGCCGTAGGAGATCGTTAATCCCCTACGGCACTTTTGGCTGTAGGCGTCCGACGGCCTGCTTACCGTAGGCCTGCCTTTGCACCCACAGCCGTATGTGTTCTACAGGCATTGTATTGCAAAATCTAATTACTGATATGCGGCAGCGTGGCGATGGCATTGGTGGCGGGGCAAGCAGGCAGGAAGGCAGGCGGCAGCAAGCAGCAGGGTGGTGGCAGAGCGGCAGGGCGGCAGCAGGCAACAGTGGTAGAGCGTCAGCAGCGAAAAGGCGGTGAGGGAGGAGCAGGCAAAAGGAAGAGGGGCAGCAAAGGTGTCAGCAACGGCGTGCAAGAGAGCGGCAGAAGAGGAGCGGTGGTGGCAACTCACTTGTTGCAACGAGGCTGTCAAGCGGAAGGCGGAAAGAAGGCTGTCAATGGTCAAAATCATCGGAGACTTTGGAGAGGCCTCCTGCGAAGTCTCCGACGATTGACAGCAGGGGCGGAAGGTAGCAGCAGAGCAGAATCAGTGGCAAGGCGTCTGGGCTGGCAGCGGATTCACTGGCGGCTGCGCTTGGCTGGCGGCTGCGCTTGGATGGCAGCTGCGCTTGGCTGGCGGCCTGGGCGGCTGTCTGGCGGCTCAGGCGGCTGGTGGCAGGTGGCTGACGGGTGGCTGGCTGCTCGCTGGGCCGGGCAGCTGGCTGGCGGCCCGGGCGGCTGCGCTTGACTGGCGGCTGACTGGGCCTCGCTGGCGGCTGGCGGTTGGCTGCGCCGGGCGGCTGCTGGCCTGAGGGGGCAGGGCCAGGCAACTGCGCCGGGCGGTTGGCTGGTGGCTGGCTCAGGTGGCGGCTGGCAGCTGGATGGCAGGGCCGAAGGGGTGGGTGGCTGGCAGGTGGCGTCAGGTGGTGGTGGTAGGAGGGCAGGAGATGGGACGGGCGGGCGGATGGATTCATAGCTAGCGTCAAAGGGCAGGTGGATTTTGGTTGTAGGCTGACCTACGGCCTTAAATCAGGAAATCGGGGGTCATCTACGCTAAAAATGGCCGAAGGCAGCCCTACGGCCAAAATCGGCGATCTTCTGCGGTATTTTGGGGCCGTAGGTTTACTTACGGCCAGAAAGCGGCAATCTCCTACGGCTTTTTCGGCCGTACAACCACCCGTGGCCATTTTCTGGGGAGCAGCTACGGCATTTTTGGCCGTAGGGCCACCCACAGCCCTGGGCCAACCCCACTCTGCGCAGAATATGGCCCTTTCTGCTTACGTCAGCTCAGGAGGCCCTGCGCGCGCGCTGGCCCCTTTGCCACCCGGCCCTTTGCCACCCAGCACTTTGCCAAACCCATCCGCCGCCCACCCATCTCTCCTGCCATCCTACCACCACCACCCGACACCACCCGCCAGCTAGCCGCCAGTCGCCAACCCAGGCCAGCCGCAAGGCCGTGCCAGCACCCGCCAGCACCCGCCAGCCAGAAGCCAGCCACCAGCTGTCAGCCAGCCAGCCACCACTTGCCCGGCTCAGCCAGCCCAGCTCAGCCGCCTGACCCTGCCAGCCACCCGCCAGCCGCCCGCCAGCCAAGCGCAGCCGCCAGCCGGGCCGCTGCCAGCCCCAGCCGCCTTGCCACTGATTCCGCTTTGCTGCTACTTCCGCCCCTGCCATCAATTGTCGGAGACGTCGGAGAGAGGCCTCTCCAAAGTCTCCGTCGATTTTGACCATTGACAGCCTTCTTTCCGCCTTCCGCTTGACAGCCCGGTCGTGACAAGTGAGTTGCCACCACCGCTCCTCGTCTCCCGCTCCCTTGCACGCCGTTGCTGACTCCTTTGCTCCCGTCTCTCTTTTGCCTGCTCCTCCCTTACCTTTCTTTGCTTCCGACATGCTCTGCCGCTGTTGCCTGTTGCCTGCTGCCGCCTGCCTTCCTGCATGCTTGCCCCGCCACTCACCAATGCCATCGCTGCGCTGCCGCACATCAGTGTAACTAGATTTTGCAATACAATGCCGGTAGAGTACATACGGCTGTGGGTGCGAGGGAGGGCCTACGGTAAGCAGGCTGTAGGATGCCTACGGCCAAAAATGCTGTAGGTGGCCCTATGGCATCTGGGTGCCGTAGGGGATTAACGATCTCCTACGGCACTGCCATATTGTAGAATGTCTACGATTTCCAAAATCGTAGGAAAATCTCTGCCCCTAGCTATGATTTGGCAAAGGGCCAGGTGGCCTGCGCGCGCGCGAGCAGGCCCCTGAGCTGACATAAGCAGAAAGGGCCATTTTCTGCGCAGGGTAGGGTCGGCCCAGGTTGTGGGGGGCCCTACGGCCAAAAATGCCGTGGCTGCCTCTCAGAAAATGGCCGTAGGGCCCCCTACGGCCAAAATGCCGTAGCTGCCCCTCAGCAAATGGCCGTAGGTATCCCTACAGCCCCATTTTTCATGGCCGTAGGTGGCCCTATGGCCATTTTTAGCGTAGATGACCCCCGATTTCACAATTTCAGGCTGTAGGCTTGCGTACGGCCAAAATCCTGGTGCCCTTTGACGCTTTCTATGAGAAAGCATCTCCAACATTTCCGATGATTGACAGCGGCAGGGCAGAAGCAGCGGCAGCTGGCAACTCATTGGGTGGCTGGCTGGGCCGGCTGGCAGCTGGCAGCTGCGCTTGGCTGGCAGCTGCGCTTAGCTGGCGGCTGGCTGGGTGGCTGGCTTGGGTGGCTGGCTGGCAGGCATAGCTAGCGTCAGAGGGCAGGTGGATTTTGGCCGTAGGCCACCCTACGCCATGTGATCGGGAGATCGGGGGTCACCTACGCTAAAAAATGGCCATAGGCAGCCCTACCGCCAAAATCGGCGATCTTCTGCGGTATTTTGGGGCCGTAGGTTTACTTACGGCCAGAAAGCGGCGATCTCCTACGGCTTTTTCGGCCGTACAACCACCCGTGGCCATTTTCTGGGGAGCAGCTACGGCATTTTTGGCCGTAGGGCCACCCACAGCCCTGGGCCAACCCCACTCTGCGCAGAATATGGCCCTTTCTGCTTACGTCAGCTCAGGAGGCCCTGCGCGCGCGCTGGCCCCTTTGCCACCCGGCCCTTTGCCACCCAGCACTTTGCCAAACCCATCCGCCGCCCACCCATCTCTCCTGCCATCCTACCACCACCACCCGACACCACCCGCCAGCTAGCCGCCAGTCGCCAACCCAGGCCAGCCGCAAGGCCGTGCCAGCACCCGCCAGCACCCGCCAGCCAGAAGCCAGCCACCAGCTGTCAGCCAGCCAGCCACCACTTGCCCGGCTCAGCCAGCCCAGCTCAGCCGCCTGACCCTGCCAGCCACCCGCCAGCCGCCCGCCAGCCAAGCGCAGCCGCCAGCCGGGCCGCTGCCAGCCCCAGCCGCCTTGCCACTGATTCCGCTTTGCTGCTACTTCCGCCCCTGCCATCAATTGTCGGAGACGTCGGAGAGAGGCCTCTCCAAAGTCTCCGTCGATTTTGACCATTGACAGCCTTCTTTCCGCCTTCCGCTTGACAGCCTGGTCGTGACAAGTGAGTTGCCACCACCGCTCCTCGTCTCCCGCTCCCTTGCACGCCGTTGCTGACTCCTTTGCTCCTGTCTCTCTTTTGCCTGCTCCTCCCTCACCGCCTTACTTGGCTGCTGACAATGCTCTGCCGCTGTCGCTGCTGCCGCTCTGCTGCCGCCCTGCTGCCACCTTGCTCTGCGCCGTTGGTGCTGCCCTTGTAGGTAGCATAGTTTTGCAATGGAATTGTAGCTAGGATACGGCTGTGGGTGCATGCTATGCCTGCGGTGTGGGAGCGACGCTGTCCTACGGCCCTGGGAGCGTAGGAGTCCTACGGCCCAAAGGCCGAAGTGGTAGACCGGCTAGGTACGGCCCTGGGGTAGCAAAGGAGATCTTGTTAGGCGGCTGCCCAACACGCCCCTGCGGGCGCCTGAGTCCCGAGGAAGTGCTGGCGGGCGGCGGAGCCGAGCGGCAATTGCCGCAGCCAGCCCCTCGACCCCGGAGGGGCTCAAGGGAGCTAGTATGTAGTCCCCCGGCTCCTGCGGAGGCCTCTGATGGTCTCCTTGTCAAATGTACTATATCCTCTTCTTACTGGAGACTGGTACAGCATCGATATCCCACTCCTCCTCATCCCTGACCTCTCCGCGCAAGCCCTATACCGTCCTTGGCCGCCTGCGGTATCCTAAGACCCCAAGGGCCTAACAGATCTCCGATTCCCGAGGCCGTAGCTAAATCCCTGCCGCTAGCTATGAGATGCAAGCAGCAAGGTGGCTGCGCTTGGCCAGGGGCTGGCTGGCAGGTCGTGGCAGCTGGCGTCGGTTGGTGGTGGTAGGAGGGGAGGAGAGACGGGTGGGCAGGCAGATGGATTTTGCAAAGGGCCGGGTGGCAAGGGGCCAAGCGTGCATGCGCAGGGCCCCCTGTGCTGACGTAAGCAGAGATGGCCATTTTCTCGTGGCCTGCGGCCAGAAATAGCGCAGGGTAGGGTCGGCCCAGGGCTGTTGGGGGCCCTACGGCCAAGAATGCAGTAGCTGCCCCTCAGAAAACGGCCGTGAGTGGCCCTACGGCCTTATATTGGTGCAGGAGATCGCTGATGTTTGGTGTAGGGCTGCCTACAGCCTCAATTTGGCACAGGAGATCGCCAATTTCCGGCCATAGGTGGCCTACAGCCATTTTTTAGCGTAGATGATGCCCAATCTCCCAACTGCAGGCTGGCATTTGGCAAAAATCCACGTGCTCTTTGCTGCTAGCTATGACTGGTATCTTGACTCCAGCACAGCTTGTTCCTGATTGGGAGGGCTGCTTTGGCTCAGGCTTCAAATCTCAAGTCAATTGGACCAGAATAGGGCAATTGCGAACAGGCGACACACCAAAAGTGGCCGAAAAGTGGGCTTCCGATAGGATGCTACGGTCTCGGCGGAGCGGCACAGCCAGATCGAAGCCAGGGTCTTGGCTGGGCCAAAGAGAGCGAGGCGGGGACAGCAGCAGGGACGCGCCTCTTTGAAGCCGCGGAGCGGGGCGCCGGCGGAGCAGGTGTGGAGGGAGAGGCTGTACGGCGTCAAGGTCCGAGACCGCCCGTGCCGAAACAGCGCACCTGCAGCCAGGCAGGCTATCATGCTGCGGGTGGCCCCTGCCTGCTCCTTGGCCTCTCACCACATCCATCCCCTGCCCTCATTTCCCGACCGAGTCCTCCAGCCATACAGACCCTCATTCCACCTCTTGCTCCGACGTCGTCTCTATCTGGATCCGTCCCGCATCTTTTTTCTTTGCCTCGAGCGCGGATCTCCACCTGGAACTTGCTCTTTGATTGTACCTCGTCGCTGGAAGCCTCGGAGCCCTATCCGTCTCGGAGACAGCCGAAGACGAAGCTCAAGCCCTGCCTGCTGGTCTTCTGATTGAATCACGACCTCGGCCCTTCCCGAACCTTGGCCTGTTCAAGAAGCTAAAGCAGCGTCACGCGGCGGGCGAGCGGGCCCGACCTACTCCCCTCCAGCATCGTCGGCACTTCCGGCTTTCGAAAGATGCCGGCGTCGGCCTCGCTGTCATCGACCTACACTAACCCCTACAGTTCGTTATTCGACCCACGAAGCAAGTCTGCGCCCACCAAGCTTGCGGCGCACGCAACCCCCCCGTGGTCCTCAGCTCAGCGACCCATCATATAAGCCAGCCTTGAGGATGAGGCCGACGTCCTCGTCGGCACCTCCGAACGGCCATGATGGCACCTCGACGTGGTACCAGCACGCGCCGCCCCGACCACCGCAATCGCACCGTCAGCCTTCACCGAACTCGCCACAGCTGACGCCCAACTTCAACGGCCACGCCCCTCCCCACGCCATACAGGCTGGACCGTCTCGTCCCTGGCTCGGTCCGAACCCGACTCCGAGCTCGGGCTCTCGACCGCAGCGATTCGTTGCGCCGCCGGCTATCCAGCAGCCGCATCACACCACCCTCCCCGCTCGCCCTCAACAGAATGGCTATCAGCTGCAAGCCCCAGGCATGCAGCAGCAAGCTCAGCAGAATCACCCAAGCCTTCCTCCCTTCCAGCAGAGAGCTTCTTTGTCTTTTCCGGCGCCTATGGTCTCGTCGCCTCTCCCTGCGTTACCCCAGGGGGATCGGCTGCCGAATCCATACGAGTCCCTGCAACCATCGTCGTCGCCGTCGCAGTGGAGCGGCACCTTTGGCGCGGCACACGAGGGTGATTACGGCCGCCACGCAAGCTCCCGACGACAGTCGTCCGGCTTCAGCGCCCACTCAGAACGAGCGCAGAACATCCCGCTACCCACGACGCCCTCAGCACATGCCGCCTCTCTCTCGCCGTCGCCGATGCCTCCGCAGCGCTTCGGGTCCGGTTCGTCGGCGAGCGAGTCGGCCATCGGCAGATCAGGTCGTCAGTCGTCCGCAACGTCCGCGACATCGCCGCAGACCAACTCGATCCAGCAGGAGCATGAGTTCGACGATTGTCCTGGGTGTCGGGCCGAACTGGACGAGGCGCTGGCAGCCTCGATGGCGTCGGCGCGTCTGGACGAGGAGCGTAGGAAGCAACGGGAGGCCTCTGAGATGGAGAATCTCTATGCCATCAGCGCTAGCGAGCAGGACGCACGCCGCAGAAGAGCTGAGGAGGAGCGGACGATGCTCGAAAAGGCCGTCGAGGACAGCAAGCGAGAAGCCGAGCTCCTCTCTAAGGCGCGCGCCGAAGAGGAAGCTCGGATCCTGGAGGAAAGCCGGCAAGCGGCCCAGCGCGAGAGCGAAAAGGCGGCGGCCGAGGACCAGATGCAGATCGAGGTGGCTCTCCGTGCGTCTCAAGCAGAGGAGCGGAAGAGGGCAGAGGCGCTCGAGCAGGAGCTTGAAGCAGAAAGGGCCGCCATCGCCGAAAGCATGAGGCAGCAGGAGGAGGAATGGCGGCGACGTGAGAGCGAAGAGAGATCGCTCATCGCCTTCTTCGAGCACCAGTCGAGACGACGCGAGAGCGACGCCACCTGCGAAGGGTCCTCGAGGATGGCGGCCAACGAGGGCGTGCAAGACGATCTCGAAGACTCCGAGGCGGAGTTCTGGAGGTTTACCGGGCACAACGAGGCCTACGATCTCGCCAAGAAGATGGAGCAGCAGGCCGCCGCCTCCTCTCAGTCTGCCCCATCCGAGCCATCTCGTGCCCGCCCATCCATCAGGCGTCCCTTGCCACCCGTCCCGGGCCAGGCGCCTCTCGCAACAGCAGGCGCGCCCGCTCTTCCAACGTCACCTGCCATGCCGGCGGATGCTGATGATCCGGTTCCCTTCAGCATCATCCCGCTCGATGCACCGCCGCCGTACGAAGCCGCTGCCGCCGCAGATACCTCGTTCGCACATAAACCTGGTGCCAGCGGCCGGGGAATCAGCGACAAGATGACGCAATCCGCGACTCCATCATCGACAGCCTGCCGGACGGAGCTGAGCTACCTACAGAGTCCTTCAGCGTACGACTTTGATCCAAATCTCCGAGACGAGGCGCCGAGCCCAGTGGATTCGTTCGCCGGACCTAGCCCAGCTCATACGGCGTCCAACAGTCGGGTCAGCTCTCCCGCCGTCGAAGCGGCGTTGGATTTCAGCAGGATGACCGGTTTGCCCGTAGGCGGTCGAGACCGACGCCATTCCTCGGTCTCAATCAACCGGCACGAACGAGAAGCGCTCTCGACGCCGCCACAGCCACCACCGAAGCAGGCAGACAGCACTGCTACCCCTTCTGTAGCTGCCGGCATAGTTGCCTCCGCTCTAGAGGCTTCACCAGCGCATGAGTCCCCCGCGTCACCACAACGCACCTCGACCGGAGCGGCGCCGCTCGTCGCGTCGCCTTCGCCTCAGCAGCAGTCGCAGGCCTCTCGAGGCAAAAAAGCAATCGCTGGCGTCGATTTCGGTTTTGCATCGCAGCCGTTTGCGACACAGCTAGAGAAGGTTCACGAGCCCGGCGAAGGCGAGACGGCGGCCAAGTACTATTTCCCCAACGCTCTGCAGCTCACCAGCGTGACCGCACCTCGCGCTGTTGGCACCGGCAGCGCAGGCAATCGATCGCCGGCCGTCGTCGGAACCCGCGGCCCCTATTTCGTCGTCCGCGCCCACTCGTGGAAGAGCCTGCTGCGTGCTCTGGCATGGTACGGCAACACGAGGATCGAAGCTGGACCGGAAGAGGTGGCGGATGCCGCCTCGGCCGCGACGTCTCACGACCGATCGCGAGCCAAGTGCTTCCTTCGGGTCGAGATCGAGTTCGTCACGCCGACCAAGGCCGAGATGGGCTACGGAGTCGGCGATTATGCTCGATACGCGCAGAACACGGGTCTGATGCCACGGACGGGCCCCAACAAGCCTCCGGCGCACGTGTCCATTTGCATGTCGCTAGTCCCCTCGCCGGCGGCCGCGCGCGCCTTTCACCAGAGCGCAGCGTACAGGGCAGCGCAGAGCGAGTCGAAGCGCCTGGATGCCTTCTACGCCGGCCGCGGGTCTGCCAGGAGGCTCATCTACCTGCCGAGGCAGCCGCCGAGCCTCCCGCTCCCCATGGTGAAGCTGGCCCAGCATCTGCACCTCGCCCACACCTTCAGCGCTGCCTGTCCCACTTCAAGCCACACGGCGCGTCACAGCCCGCGCGACCTGCACCACGCCATTGAGCGTCACGACGAGGGCTTCATCAAGAAGCAGAAGGCGCTGGCGAGTGCCGGCGCGCTGCTGGCGTCTGGGTCGGGCAGCGGCGGCACCAACAACACAGCGTCGAGTTTGAGCCTGACGACGACCAAGACCAACCAGTCATTTGCGAGCTCGATGTTCCACCGCCCTTCGGTCGACACCACGGCCACAACAGCAGAGGGTCATTCGTCGACTTTTGAGCCGGGCCCCAGCAATGGCAACGAGAGCCACGTCAACCTCATGGACTCGGAGCACGAGGACGAGGTCGACTTCAACAACCTCGCCCTCGAGGATGGAGGGATCGAGCAGGTCGAGGCCATGGGGAAGCGCGCCAGGCTCAAGGCCAAGATGAAGCGGAAGCTGGGCAAGAGGCAGGGGGATGGCAACGTCGTCGACGAGGATCTCGCTACGTGGATCACGCCCTTTGATGTCGACGAGCACGATTAGCGTCATTCGATCAGGATGGTCGCGCATCCGATTGAAGGTGTCTTCCGCCTCTGGGGCGAAGCATCCGGGAGGGAGGTTCCGAACATTGGCGTCCGTTCCGGATATGTCTGCAAACAGCAACCTAGTCAGCGCATTCTATTTGTCGAGTTTAGCAAATCGCACCGGTCAAATGCACAGCCTATGTAGCAGCAGCAGCAGCAGCAGCAGCAGCAGCAGCAGCAGCAGCAGCAGCAGCAGCGGCAGCAGCGGTAGTACAACTCCCTTGGTGCGGCGGTACGACGGACCACTACAACGCCACCCGATCGAGGGTGATGGTCTCAAAGACGACGTCGACGTGCGCGCGCGCCAGGGACGCTCTTGCGGACGCCTGGTCGTTGTCGCCGCCTACGAGCCGGATGGCACGGAGCCTCTCGATCCTTTCTTGTAGTTGGCTGCGTATCCCATCCTCGACTTGCTGCGTCGTCGGAAGGAGATGCTGTAAGGATCGAGGCCAGCTGAATGCGCGGATCTCCTTCCTCCGCCTCGTCGTCGTCGGCGGCGGCGCGCTTTGCCTTGCATTTTCACTGCGACTTCTTGCGCCTCTTGACGACGACGTAGGGCTCGGCAAGTCGAGGAAGACCCTGCATAGGTTCAAAGCTTGGTGGGCGAGGGCGTTTGGAGTCTCGATCCATGCCACCTCTGCGTCGTCCTCCTCTTCCTCTCCTCGTTGGAATCGTCCCTCTTCTTCCTCGTCGTGTCTCAGTGGTTGTGATGCGTTGGTCGATGTCTGCAACGAGAAGGGAGAGGCAGAGGGTGGAGAGGACGACGCGGATGGTGTGGGGTCCTCGAGAGAGTAGATGGTCGTGTACTCTAGCAGGAAGCCGGAAAGGGTCGTCCCTAGCATTGTCTGGCCCTGATCGGCAGAGGAAGGCGAGATGGCAATCAGGTTGATCGACACATCCTCTAAACGCTGTCGGAGCATCGAGAGAAGGGTCATGAAGCGTTGCGACGGTGGAGCGATCTGGGTGGTCGTCCGCAGCGTGCGTCAGTCGGTCGGCGGCCCTTATCTCTTCCACTTCGGGCCAGGCAGGGGGACGTCGGAAGTAGACGCCGTACTCACCTGCAAGCTTCCCCTTCGTACATCCACGATCCATCTTCTCTCCTCCAGGCTAGAAGACAGGTAAAGGTCGATGGAACGGCAAAGCAGGGCGCGGTGGGCCACAAAGATGTCGGCTGTCTCGCGCCAGTGCAGGACCACGAGATCCGACATGCCTTCTTCCTCGAGAAACGTGGCGAGGTGCCTGCATTGACTCGCCGTAAGGCGGGTCGAGTCCAGGAGCGTTGCTTGTCTGCCCTTCGCCAGCGCCACGTCGAGCGTTATAGAGAGGTGTGCGTGTCAGGGGTGCCTCGATGGGTGCTGAGTGGTGCCAAGACCAAGGCGACGTACCGGAAACCCCACCGCACCAAGATGACATCTTGGACGATGGTGCGGACACTTCGATGCGAGGTCGTCCTTCGTTTCCTGGCCCTCGATGACGGCGCAGGTGATGCATCGAGTCGATCGTGAAGACGTCGAACGAGGACGTCGACCTCGTTGCCCTCCATCTCGATTCAGGCGATCGCAGCGACGATTGGCACGAGCCTGACGCGATACCGACTCCGTCCGCCCTGCCTCGTTGCCTCGTCGACTTGCTGTCTGGTCCTGCGAGTTCAAGCGAAGAGAGAGGGAGGCAAGACGGCTGCGCTCGCTGCTCGTTTGCCCGACGTCCTGCGTCTTTCTCGTCGAGGGAATCGTGGTTGTGACGCAGGCAAGGAGGGGAGGTGGGGTCCGCCGACTTGGTCGCCGCTCGTTGCAGGTGGACGGAAGCGGGGAAGGAATGACGAGGCCCCGATCGCAAGCCGCGACCCACGGGGCACCGCAAGATCAACTACAGTAGTGGGGCAGACCGGCAATGCAGCAGCACATCCAGGATGATCTCGGTCCCAGGCAGCCAGCGCACACTTCGACAGACGGCGAACGGGTGGTTGAATAACGAGAAGCGGTGGTGCATTTCTTTGCTTTTGGTGATTGCAAAAAGTAACTTACCCGCCCGCACCCGGGCCAGGATGGCCGGCAATGTCGGGTGGGGAAGGACTTCTACCTGCGCCAGGCTCAACAGAGGCGCCGGTGATGCTGGATACGATGCTGAACAGCCCAGACTGGTGGTCGGTTTGTTGGTACAGAGAAGGGGGGTTTGAGGGTGGTCGAGGCACGGCGAAGCAAACGGTTCTAGACTGAAGAAGAAAAGCTCGGGGTAATAGGCGAGAAGGCGGGAGCCGAGTGAGGGCCAAGGGGGAGAAGGAAGAGCTATGACACACGGGAGGAGGAAGAGAAGAAACGAGAAAGGGATCGGGGAAAGCAGGCGGGCACGAAGACCAAAGCCAGCCGCTTACTGCTTCTTCTCGCCCTCGCCCTCGGCGGGCTTAGCCTCCTCGGACGAGCCCTGCTGGCCGCGCTTCTCGTAGACCAGCTTGAAGAGCTGAAGCGAGGCCTGCTGCGTGGCGTCGATCTTCTCGCGGATGGCGTCGGCGGTGACGTCGCTGTCGGCGTTGAGGCCCTTGGCGGCCAGCTCCTCAGTCTCCTTGATGAGGACGTTGAGCTTCTCCTTCTCGTCGGCGGGCAGCTGCTCGCTGAACTCCTGCATCGCCTTGGTCGTCTCGCCGCACACCGAGTGGGCGCGGTTGGCCTCCTCGATCACGGCCTTGCGGGCCTTGTCCGACTCAGCGTACTGCTCCGCATCCGCCACCATGCGCTCAATCTCGGTGTCGCTGAGGCCGGAACCGGCCGAGATCGTCATCGACTGGTCCTTGTTTGTGGCCTTGTCGGACGCCGAGACGTGCATGATGCCGTCGGCGTCGATGTCAAAGGTGACCTCGATCTGGGGGACGCCCTTGGGTGCCGGGGGGATGCCAGTCAGCTGGAAGTTGCCCAGCAGCTTGTTGTCGCGGACGAGCTCGCGCTCTCCCTGGTAGACCTGGATGTCGACGGCAGTCTGGCCATCGGCGGCAGTCGAGAAGACCTGGCTCTTCTTGGTGGGGATGGTCGTGTTGCGGTTGATGAGGCGGGTGAAGACGCCGCCGAGCGTCTGGATGCCGAGCGAAAGCGGGGTGACGTCGAGCAGCAGGACATCCGTGACCTGGCCGGAGAGGACACCGCCCTGGATCGAGGCGCCGATGGCGACAGCCTCGTCAGGGTTGACACCCTTGCTGGGGTCGCGGTTGAAGATGCTCTTGACCGTCTCGAGGACCTTGGGCATGCGCGACATGCCGCCGACCATGATGACGTCCTGGATCTCGGACGGCTTGACGCCGGCGTCGGACAGCGCCTTCTTGCAAGGCTCGACGGTGCGGTCGACCAGCTTGCCCACCAGGCCCTCGAGCTGCGCGCGCGTCAGCTTGGTGTTGATGTGCTTGGGACCGCTGGCATCGGCCGTGATGTACGGCAGCGAAATGTCCGTCTGGCTCGTCGACGACAGCTCAATTTTTGCCTTTTCGGCTGCTTCGCGGATGCGCTGGATGGCCATGCGGTCCTTGCTGAGGTCGATGTTGCTCTCCTTCTTGAACTCGTTGACGAGGTGCTCGACGAGGACGATGTCGAAGTCCTCGCCGCCGAGGTGGGTGTCGCCGTTGGTCGACTTGACCTCGAAGACGCCCTTCTGCATCTCGAGGATCGAGATATCGAAGGTACCGCCGCCCAGGTCGAAGACGGCGATGACCGACGAGTCGTCGCGGTCCATGCCGTAGGCGAGGGCGGCGGCGGTGGGCTCGTTGATGACGCGGAGGACGTCAAGGCCGGCAATGGCACCGGCGTCCTTGGTGGCCTGGCGCTGCGAGTCGTTGAAGTAGGCGGGGACGGTGATGACGGCGTGCTTGACGGGCTTGCCGAGGTAGCCGGAGGCGGTGTCCTTCATCTTGCCTACGACAAACGCACCGATCTGCGAGGGCGAGTACTTCTGGCCGCGGGCCTCGAGCCACGCATCGCCGTTCGAGTGGGGCACAATCTTGAAGGGGACGTTGCTCAGGTCCTTCTGGACCTCCTTGTCCTGGAACTTGCGGCCAATCAGACGCTTGGTGGCAAAGAGGGTGGCCTCGGGGTTGACGACAGCCTGGCGCTTGGCGGGCAGACCGACAAGGCGCTCGCCGTCCTTGGTGAAGGCGACGACGGAAGGCGTCGTCCGGCCACCCTCAGAGTTCTCAATGACGCGTGCCTGCTGGCCCTCCATGACCGAGACACATGAGTTGGTGGCTGAGAAAGCGTACAGAATAGCAGGGGCGCAAGTCAAGGTTTCGGGTCAGCTACCGCAAGCCAGGCATGATGATCGCTCTTCGCCACCTGCCAAGCGTCGCTCAGGGCAGGTTCTAAATCCTTCCTACTCGGGCGCTCCGGCTCGCCACGAACGCCACACCCCCCTTGACCGCCACGACGCGCAGAAACTCACTGCCCAGGTCGATTCCGATGACAGGGCCCGAGACCTTGCCAGAGTTGAAACGAGCTCCCATCGGCGCAAGTCGCTGTGGGAAAGGTAGGCAGACGCGACGGTAAAAGAGGGGTGCAACGAGGTCAGGTTCGCTGCTCGGCGGGACGCAGGCGCTGCAGAGCAAGGGGGATGCAAAGACGCGACTCACCGCCATCGAGGGGGCCGAGCGGAGGGGCTGGTTGAGCATCCTCGTCGCCGGAGCGGCGGCACGGAGTGATTGAGAGATCATAGCGGAGAGGGTCGTGTGCACGGGAAGACGGACAGAACCGGGGCGGATGGCGGTAGCGCGGGTGGTATCAAACGGGCGAGGGGAAGAGCGCTGTGATGATGGTGGGGGTGGTGATGGTCGTGGCGAGAGGCAAAGAGGGTGGAAGCCTTTTGGGGGGAGGTAGTGCGGTGTGCGCTGTGTGCAGAGGAGGGGGGAAGGTCGGTGAGAAGGAAAGCGCCGACGGCCGTGACTGGGCTTTTGTGGAGATCGAGCGGTGCCATCGGTCGGGTCGGGCAGGGCGGGCAGGGCGCAGGCTGGGCCGTGGGTGGCCTCCCTTCCGCCACCAGCCAGCAGCTGCTTGCCTGCTTGCCTGCCTGCCTGCCTGCCTGCTTGCTTGCTTCTTGCTCGCCCTGATTGAGCCGCGATTTCAGCCGGCGTAGGGCCCACCTTAGCCAATTAGCAAGCAAGTGTGCACTGCGAGGCCAGCGTTGGGGGCCGGCTGGGGTAAGGCGGCCGCATCGACTTTGTGAAGTCACCAGGCGGCCGGCCGGGCCTGGCGTTTGAAATTTTCTTCTTCGTCGGCCTCGCCCGCCCTTCGAGAAGGACCGCCGCCTTTCCTTCTGCGACCTTCGACCCCCCTCTGCCCGGGCGCCGCCGTCGCCGCCTTGCCTGGCCTCCCTTGGCGATTTTTCTCGTTGGCTGGGTGGAGGAGGCGACAGGTAGGCCAGGGTCGCACACGCACGAGACGTGGCGGGCATGCAAGCCAGCGTCACGCTCACACGACTTTCGCCGGTGATCGGGTCGGCCAGGCCTGGTGACGCCTGACCCGCTGTCCGCGAGGTGGCGGGTTCCGGTTCCCGAGGCAAACGCTGGCTGGGCGGCCACCCGGCAGGCCGTGTAGGCCGACCTGCCGGTGCCTTGGACCCTGCCGTACCGCTGGACGAACCGCACGGCCCCGCAAGAGCTCTCAACACCGCACCACCCTAGCCTCCCCTCCTTGCCCTTGCACCGCGTCGAGCGACGCCGCGGCCCTCGTTTGCAAGCAAGCCAAAACTCTGAGCCTGGCTCTACCGCTGCGACGTCGGGCCGGAACCGACCCCTTCGGATGCTCGCCGGATCCCTCTCTTCCCCTCGACTGGCGGGCCCGACAGCGCGACAGGAGAGCGTCCATGTCCCTGCTGCCGACGACGAGGTGAGCTGCTGCTGCAATCCCCTGACGAAGCTAGCCTCGCTCTGACCATGATCAGCTTTGTCCTTGCAGCACCTTTGACTATGACGGGTCCGCCCGGTCCGGCATCAGTCGGGTGCTGCACAACCTCGCCCGCTTCCCCTCTCAGATGGTGCGTCCAGCCCTCTTGCTCGGAGCACGTCGCGACTAGCTTTGTCTCGTCCTGAAAGGCTGACGTCTCGTCCTGAAAGGCTGACGTGGCGACCTGGCCATCTCCGCTTCATTTCCGTATCGACGACGCAGCCCGACTTTGAGCTCGCGACGTGGCAACTCTTCAACCTCTGCGTCGCCCCTCGCAAGGTGTGCGTAGCTCGCGTAGCCCGCCTTCTCTGGTACCGCAGGCCTTGAGCGTACAAGCAGCTTGGTTTACCTCGTTCCTCTTCCCTCCGATGGCCTCGACACTTGACCGCAGGTACCGCCAGGTCTATTACCACAAGCAGACCAAAAACACATGGGCTCGCGATGACCCGGCCGTCCTCATGATCCTCACCTCAACACTATGCCGTGAGTCGGTCGGCGAGCAAGCCGCGCGCAACCCCGATAAAAAGCGCAGCTACCGACTCTACCTTCTCTCTCGCATCGTCTAACGACCATCCTGGTACAGTGGCGGGCATACTGTGGGGCTTCGACTACTCGCTCGGCCCCCTCGGCACCTTGCGCACCGTTTTGGTCATGGTCCTGCGCGACTGCCTGCTGCTCGGCATCGTCTCGGCCACGGCGCTGTGGTTCATCTCCAACTCGCTGCTTCAGGCGCCCGCGTCGATCCACACGACCGACCAGCGCGTCGAGTGGGCCTACGCCCTCGACGTCCACACCAACGGCTTCTTCCCCGCCATGCTCGAGCTCTACTTTGTCCAGCTCCTGTTCAAACCCGTCCTGGTCAGGCACAACTGGATCTGCCTCTTGCTCGGAAACGGCCTTTACCTCGTCGCCGTGAGTGGTCGCTTTAAACAAGAGACGAAAGGACGGATGACACGAGAGGGGGTGACTGACCACGAACCTCTGACGTGTTGTGACCGAGCAGTTCGGCCAGTATTGGTACGTCACCTACCTTGGCTACAATGCGCTCCCCTTTCTGCAACGCACCGAGCTCCTCCTTTTCCCCGTCCTCGTCCTCGTCGCCTTCTTCATGGTGAGTGCGCGAGCGAGCCCTCCTGTCCTTCGAGTCACCGGTCCGGCTCTGTCCTCGACGTCGAGAGGGCAGCAGTCCGAGGCAGGACGACGATCAACGATGCATCCACAAACCACAAGGAGTACAACCCAAATCGAACAGCCAACCCCCTTCCCTCTTCTTTCCCGCTCGCGCGCGAGAGGAAAGAGTGGGGAGAGAAGGGTCGGCCATGTTCCTCATCCCTTCAGATACTGCTGAGACGCCGTCGTCCTGCCCGAGCCCCGTCGGAATGCGCCCAGTGGGCACGCACAAAGATCTGACCGGCCCTATTCTCGCGTCCGCCTCTTCTGCTTCCCTCCTCCCTGCTCGGCGCTACCCGATGCACGGCTAGGTCTCGCTGCTGGGCTTCAACTGTCCGCGCCACTTTCTCTCGCTCTACTTCGGATCAATATGAAGCCGTCAGGCGTAAAGACCACACGGCCGTCCGACCGAACGCTCTACCGTAGCCCGTGTGGCGAGAATCGGGCCCAGTGCTCGAGTGCGGGGAAAAACACCATTGTTCAGACAGGCAAAGAGGACCGACCCTGATGCTGCAGGCAGAGTCGATGATGGGGACGGTGCGGGTCAATGGCAGGTCGAACATCCGGGCGGGGTGCAGGGTGCAAGAGGTTAGGTGCGGATGCAAGTCCAGCCGACGACTGGTGTCGCTCAGTGATGCTGTGCCGGTCGAGAGGCAGTGGACGGCCCACGTCCGGCCTAGTCGCGTTTCGATTGGGATGATCGGGTTCGGAGGGCCTGGCTCGGCTTCAGGATGCCGGTGCCGCTGCCGCCGGTGTCGTTGATGCTGATGTGGCTTGGCCGGCACCACCGCCGCTGCCATGCGCCGACTCGTCCATGGCTTCTTCGTCTTCTTCTGGGATCGGGTCCTCGGTTGCCATCTCGCCGTCGTCCATCCAAGATGCCTCGACCGTCGCCTTGACCCTCCTCACGTACTCTTTCATGTTCTCGCGGTAGAGCGAGGCAGCCTCGGCGTTGGCGGGGCTACACCGCGCCACATCGAGCGTAGGGTGCAAGCACAAGGGGAAGGGGTCCTGTCAGCGCCTCGGCGGGGTCAAGGTGGTGAGGAGCTCGAGGCGCTCGTCGAGCGCCAGTCCTGGCCGCAATCGACTTACCTGTTGGGATTCGGGTCATGCAGCAGGCTCTGAATGCTTGTCAGGATCGCCGCGACATCGTACGTCGGGCTCCATCGGTTCTGCAGGATGTCGAGGCAGAGCTCGCCGTTGGCGTAGACATTGGGGTGGAACATTTTGCTGAGGAACTTGACCGTCGGCGGCTTGTTGGGGTAGGACTCGTCAAAGGTGAGAACCAGCTTGAACGTCCCGTCCTCGAACGGCGTGTCGGCTGCGGAAGCCAGGCGAGGGATCGACGCAGAAGGGAAAGGACAATGTCAGCGCTGCGATTTACCATCTTGCCACCCAAGTCGAGCGTGGCAACGGCCGACTGGACCCCACATACCGGGACCAAAGATGACTGCGTTCCAGATCATGAGGTTGTCGGCGCATGGTGCGCCCGAGATGCCGCCGGGCGGGTCGCTGCTGAGCCTCTTGAAGTCTCGGATGAGCCTCTTCTTGGACGGTGTGGACTGCGCGGCGGGACCGGGTGCGTGGCGGGTGGCAAAGCCGTATCAGGTCAGTCCCTTTTCCAGTCCGAGCTGTTGCGGCGGAAAGGATCGACAGGTGCAAAGGCCACCTACCATGGCGAAGAGGGTCGAGCGCTACGGTGCTGAGTGCTGGGGGCTGGGTGCTGGGGGGCGTGGCTTTGGTAGGCGGTGGAGCGAGAAGCAGGCTTGCCTTGTCTGAGTCGGGTGGAGAACGATACGGGCGTTTGAGGCTGCAGCCGAGTGCGGTGTTGCAATGGATGAAGGATATGCTCCGCGGATACGAGGGCTAATGGGTGCTGGTAAAGGATGACAAGGCAGGGCAGTGATGGTGGTTTGAGACGGGGGCCAGGGGTGGAAGCGCAGTTGGCGAGGGAGTCGGAGGGGGGGGGGGGGAGCAGCGACTGCGGCGGGGTGGTGGTGGGGCGGCGCCCCTCGCGGCGGCCTGCCGGGCGGCCTGCAGGCCTTTGGCCTCTAGCTGTAGGGTCGGTGTACGCGTGCTTTGCCCCGTCTGGCTGCTGGCTGCTGGCTGCTGGCTGCTGGCTGCTGGCTGCGCTGCGAGGTTGTTGGTCGCCCTTTTGGCTGGCTGCCTGACGCCCGCCGGACGTGTGGAGGGCGGAAAATGAGCCAGCCAAGAGCCAAGCAGCCAACCAACAAACCCACCCACCCAG